GGCCTCTACCACGGCCTTGGCCTCTCGCGGCCCTAACTGGTGGCACTGGTGGCACTGGTGGATGACCGTCTGATCCGGTAGTACGTGTCCTCACCATCTATGAGAGAATAGAATAGTAGAAATTTAGTTTCCAGAATCAACAAATTCGCATGACAGAATACAAGAAAGTNCGCAAGGCTCTACTAAACCTGCTCATGACTCGTGAGACCTATGTAACCTAGGCTCTAATACCAACTTGTCACGACCCAAAATCCCAACCTGTCGTGATGGCGCCTATCTCGATACTAGACAAGCCGATAATCTCAATAAACCAGAATTTCTCTTAAGTTTGAAGATATAATAATTTAATACAATACAAAATCTCACAAATACTGACATGAACACTCCCCAAAACCTGGTGTCACTGAGTATATGAGCATTTAATATGAATACAAGTCTGGAAAATACGGTCTATAATAGTCTGAGACCAAATACAGTAAACAAGGAGATAGAGAAGGAGAGATAAGGTCTGCGGAACACGGCAGCTACCTCAAAATCTCCTGAAAATCAACTGCGCGAAATGATCAGCACCCGCTATATCCGGGGAACACCTGGATCTGTACACGAAGTGCAGGGTGTAGTATGAGTACAACCAACTCATCAAGTAACAATAATAACTAAGGAACTGAAGATAATGACGAGCTACACGGTTATAGTTCACTTTCAGTAATTCCAGTAAAGAATAGACATGCTTTCAAATCTGGCAGTTTAAGTCAAATTAATTTTATACATTTCAATTTTATGTAATCCGGATATAAAATCATTTAGAGATTTCACAATAATGATAGATAGCAACCAAGTGCAACAACAAATGCAAAGCAAGTACAACCTCTCAGGCAACATTCACTCAATTCATCACCACAACTCAACCACTCGGCTCTCAGCCCTCAGCACTCATACTCAATGGGTACCCGTGCTCACTGGGGGTGTGTACAGACTTTGGAGGGGCTCCTACAGCCCAAGCGCCATAATCTGCACGGACAACTCACGTGTTGCACGGACAACTCACGTGCTATAATATCCTGTACGGATAACTCACGTGCCATAATATCCTTACCTCACCGACATGCCCTCGGCCTTACTCAGTCCTCAACCTCTCTAGTCTCTCGGGCTCTCAGAAATCACAAAGATCAGCCCAAATAAAGATAACATAGTGTATCAATAAATATCAAGAAAGACTGAGGTATAATACGCAAGAAAAATCATGACTGAGCACAAGACAGCAATTAGCAAATAATTCAACAAGTACATGACCTTTGCGGGTCCCAACAGTGCTATAACATAGCCTAAGCATGATTTCTAACATGATTTAGAGTCAAATTTCTTCAACACATAGAGAGCATATAGCTAACAATAAATTATTCAACTATACAGTATCCACGGGACGGACCAAGTCACAATTCCCTCGGTGTACGCCCACACGCCCGTCACCTAGCATGTGCGTCACCTCCAAAATAATCATATGACACAAAATTTCGGGGTTTCATACCCTCAGGACCAGATTTATAACTGTTACTTACCTCAAACCGTGAAATTCTTATTCTGCAATGTCATATCCTCGTGAATTGGCCTCCAAACGCCTCGAATCTAGCCATAAATAATTCGTTTCAGTCAATAAAATTCATTGGAATTAATTCCATAAGAAAATGCTAATTTTCCATAAAATATCCGAATTTTAGCTCAAAAATCACGTCTCGGAACCCGACCAAAATTACAAAATCCGGAAGCCCATTCAACCACGTGTCTAACCATACCAATTTTACCAAAATCCGACCTCAACTCAACCCTCAAATCTATAAATCTTATTTCCAAATTTCTAAGTTCCAATCTCCGATTTACACCTCAAAATCATGTAATCTAGTCAGATTATTCAATGATAATTTAATATTATGGAGTAAAAATGATCACAAGGGAATTACCTCAAGGTTTCCTTGAAAATCTATCAAAACCCGCCTCTCCTCAAGCTCCAAGTTGTCAAAAATGGCGAATGGGACGAAGTCCCTGCTTTATAATTCTGCCCAAACTGCCTCGGTTTTGCCTCGATCTTGGCCTTCGATTTTGGCCTTCGATCGAGGTCCTCGATCCTGGGCCTCGATTCTGACCCTCGATCATGGCCCTCAACCCTGGCCCTCGATCATGTCTTCGACTCTACCTTCGATCGTGGCCCTCGATCGTGGCTTGATTCTGGGTTTGATTTTTGGGCCCAATTCTGGGCTCGATTTCTAGGCTCGAATCTGGCAGAAGAAATTTCCAACAAAAGGAAATTACAGCAGCTATTGTAGTTCAATTTCTGATCCGTTAACCATCCGAAACTCACCTAAGGCCCTCGGGACTTCAACCAAATATACCAACAAGTCCTAAAATATCATACGAACTTAGTCGAGTCTTCAAATCACATCCAACAACACTAAAAACACGAATCACACATAGATTCAAGCCTAATAAACTTTAAAACTTTCCATTTCTACATACAACGCCGAAACCTATCAAATCACGTCCGATTGACCTCAAATTTTGAACACAAGTCATAAATGATATAACAGACTTATTAAAATTTTCAGAATCGGATTCTGACCTCGATATCAAAAAGTCAATCCCCCAGTCAAACTTCCCAAAAATTCAACTTTCGGTATTTCAAGCCTAATTCCTCTACGGACCTCCAAAAATATTTTTGGACATGCTCCCAAGTCCAAAATCACCATACGGGGCTATTGGAATCATCAAAATTCAAATCTGAGGTCGTTTATACATAGGTCCATATCCATTCCACTTTTCTAACTTAAATTTTCAATTATGAGACTAAGTGTCTCATTTCATTCTGAATTCCTTCTGGACCCGAACCAACTAATCCGATAAGTCATAAATCAATTGCAAGACATAAATTGAGCAGTAAATGAGGGAACGGGGGTTATAATATTCAAAACGACCGGCCGGGTCGTTACAGATCAGCTTTCAAATTTCTATACTCAACAAAGATGAAACAGGAGAAGAAATTCGTTGCTATCTCTTATTTCTGGTTTTTAGATTTTTCATACATATTATTTTATATTTATTTTCTTTTATCTTATTTTTTATGTCTTTTTTATTTTGTTACAAAAAAAAAATAATTTATTTCGCTATAAAAGGATGAGTTTTAATAGAAATTGTCCACATAAGAACTTTATTTATATTTTTAGTCTTTGGTTGAAATTCTTTCATATTTTTCTTTTGGATTTATCTAATCAACTTAAATATGTGCTCACCCAACCACTTAAATTAAAAAATTGAAGGATGTGTAATTTATATATAAGCCATATATAATATTTGTATAATCGTGTGTTGTCGGTATATCATCTATGTATATTAGCTATAAAAAGTAAACAATACATCCGGTCGGATATTTATGTAAATATTCCATAGGATTTCGGTTTCTTGATTTTATCCATGATATAACTTATATTATAATAATTTTAAAAAACTCACTACTAAAATTCAAAAATATCTTCTCTTTTTATTTTTAAAATTACATTATATTTTAAAGAATAATCCCATTTCGAATAATTTGTTTACATTTTAAAAAAAATATTTCACGTCATACAAACTTTTTTTAAAAAAATATACTTTTTGTTTCACTTGAAAATCGCTATAGAAACTATCATTTAGAAACCAATACTCCTCTTGTTGAATTTTTTTAAAAAAACCTTTCACATAATCTAATGATGAATTCGAGAAAAAAAACTTTTTACATAATCTAATGATTCTTAACTAATATTCTTCAACGAAAAAAATAGTATACCTTTGCAATATTGGCTTGAGTGCAGCTAAATGAAAAGGTTTCAGCCTATACCCTTCAATTCCTAGAAGGTGCTAAATCGAAATTAATGATAGTGATTGTATAGATAAAGTTTTGTTATTTGTTTGATGTCCATTTATACAAATTGACTCTTCAAACGAACATTCTTCAAAAGATTTTTTTTTTTGGAATATTGACTGATTTCTGTGATATTCTTTTCTCCAGCATGTAGGTTTACTTCATTATATATGTAAGTAAACTTTTATTCGATTTTTAAACTNCACTTGGCTTAACCACAATGCCAATTATATATGGTCAGGGCCGGCTATAGGGTAAAGCTTCTAAAGCATTTGCTTGAGACCCCAAATTTAGGGGGCCCTATCATGTGTAAACCTTACTCTTTATATGCTTCACGGTCAATAAGCAATTATGCCAAATATAATATTTGGTAGCTAGAAAGCCTAAGATTTCTGAAAGGGCACTACCAAAGTAAATAATTATCGTAATATGGCACAGCCAATAAATAGTTATGGCAAGTGATTTGTTGATAGGAATTCAGAAAATTGTTCTATTTTAGGAATGTTTCTACTTTCTACTCCTTTTCAAGTTCTTTTTCAGAAAACTACTTGGAAGCACCACCACTTCCATTCCAACCAAGAGGTTGTGAGTTCGAGTCACCCCAAGAGCAAGGTGGGGAGTTCTTGGAGGGAAGGATGCCGATGGTCTATTGGAAACAGCCTCTCTACCCCAGGGTAGGGGTAAGGTCTGCGTACACACTACCCTCCCCAGACCCTACTAGTGGGATTATACTGGGGTTGTTGTTGTTGTTGTACTTGGAATAGATAAAATAAATTCTTTGCGAAAGTTGAAGGGTTTAAGTCCTTTTGCAGAATCCTACTTGTAATAGTAAAAGGAAATTCTTTCGATTCATACAAAATCACACCTATAAAAGCATCTCATCGTTATTCTTTCCTGACCAGAAACAAACTTATGAGTTTTGAATTTTGGAACTACGACTTCAAGTATTAATGATTGGATTCTAGATTTAATATTTTATACATATTTCAAGAATCCAAAACACCAAATACATTATTTGAACAAAAGCAATTCGGTTCGGCCAAACCTGTAGGTTGGCTTGTACCTCCGCCACTGTTCCTAACTTTGTTCTTTGAATACTTGCGAGCCCGACATGGAAAGCCAGAAAGACAGGGTGAAATTCAATGTTGGTGGCAGAATCTTTGAAACTACGGCCACAACCTTAGCAGGTGCTGGTAGGAATTCATTCTTTGGAGCCATGTTTGATGAGAATTGGAACCTGCATTCTAATGCCACAACCAATGAACACTTCATTGATAGAGATCCTGATTATTTTGCCTTCATTCTTAACTTACTCAGAACAGGTGAGCTTTATATTCCTCCGAAGATCGATAAGAAATTCCTATACAGAGAGGCTCTATATTATGGCCTTTTGGATCATGTTCGGTCAGCTGAGTGCGCTCCATTTGATGGCAATAGGCTTCGGTTGGCACAGTCTATAACAGGCCAGTCAGTAGGGGATGATGTGGGCACTACTCAGGCCATTCGAGCTAGCCCGAGTGGCTGGTGTTGTGTGGCTCAGGGTAGCGTGGTTCGCGTGTACGATTGTATGCTTGAAGAGCACCCCACAATCAATCTTGATTACCATAAGGTGAATGATGTTTGTTGGGTTGATTCTGAAAATATTGTGGCTAGTTTTGACAGAAAATTAGCTAGTGGAAGCATAGGGTTATTCAACGTATCTACAGGAAAGCTGAGGTATAAACACCAGGTTACAAATCAATTGAAGGATTACACAGCAGGTACACTATGTTTTAATTACAAGTTATCCTCCAATTGTAAAAGCAGTAGCAATAATGAGTATAGGATTGGTGTTTGGGACCACGTCACGGGGAAGCTAATAAACATCGTTGTAGGTAAGCGAATTCTTGGTAATGATAGCAAGCTGCAATGGTATGATACCAACTGTTTGATGATTGCTAGTTTTTATCCGTTGAATCAAAACTGTTGCATCGGCTTGTTCGATATAAGGGAGAAGGAGGGGCGGATGTAGCATATACTCTTCGGGTTCAACTGAACTCATAACTTTCGACGCGGAGTAAAAATTTATATGTAAAAAATCATTAAAATTACAAAAAGAGTAGAGATGAACCCATAACTTTAAAAATATAATAGGTTCAATACTAAAAATTTTAAAAGTTGAACCTATAGAGTTTAAATCCTGGATCAGCTTCTGTCAGAAGGCATTGGTTTGGTCGTGGAGTGGTTCTGCTTGGGAGCAAAGAAACCAGTATCCCGTTAGTCAACAACTACGGAAGTTTAGAGATGTGATAATTATAAAGGAGAGTAACTCCATTTGTGTAGTAGATGATAATGGATGTTTGGGTTTCATTGATTTGAGGAGTACTACTAAAAGTGTAGAATGGAGAGAAAGTTGCACACCAATTACTGCGGTGGATAATAGGCCTTGCTATCCCAAACTGGGATTTCACGAGGGGCAATTGTTCTCATCAATGAACGATACCATTTCGGTTTCTAGTGGTCCTGACTGGGTTCTAACATCACAACTTCGACAGAATCGTGGTGGTCCAATTTGTGATTTTTCAATTGGTGGCGACCGTCTTTTTGCTCTTCATAGGGAAGATGTTATTGATATCTGGGAGACCCCTCGTTCACCAATTATATGATTCTCTATATCTTCAATAGGTTGTTAGAGTTGGAAGAAGGAGATGCTTGGCATAACTAATAAGGTTGCTGCCATGTGACTAGGAGGTCACGGGTTCGAGCCGTGGAAACAACATCTTATAGAGTGGGAGCTTAATGCACCGGCTGCCCTTTTAGGTTGTTAGAGTTGGACGAAACTGATTAGCAAACGCCATGCACTATGATCTTGAATGGTAAATACACAAAGATCAAAATGACAGCTCAATAGAAACTGATTAATAATATGCATTTTCAATTTGGCTTTACTTCAAGCAGATGAATTCTCTCAATATTTACTCCACCTGTTAATGGATGCATCAACTTATTGTTTAGCCTAAACTGCATATAACATTCATATGTGTTAATCTTCTTGTGAACCTTTAAATAGAGTAACTTTGGAAGTTACTTTTAACACATGCATTCATCATTTATATTCACATAAGATGGGTACTCCCGATATTGTCATGAGAATTTTAAGTATATATAGTAGCGTACTAGATTCTACTGTCTCTTTTCATCTTCTTGAGCCGAGAGTCTATCGAAAACAACATCTCTATCCTCCAGGATAGGGGTAAGGTCTGCGTACACATTACCCTCCTCAAACCCCACTTGTGAGATTACACTGGGTTTGTTGTTGGTGTTGTTGTTGAGCCGAGAGTCTATCGGAAACCGTCTCTTTACTCTCCAAGGTAGGGGTAAGGTTTGCGTACATACTACCCTTCCCAGGCCCCACTTGTGGGATTACATTGGGTTATTGTTATTGTTGTTGTTGTTGTTGTATACTAGCGTACTGGACTCTATATAAGTACAAGCATTAGAATCACTTGATAGTTCTTATTTTAATTTTCAGACTCTCATCTTGTTAACTAACTTAAACGCAATACTTATCCAAAGACAGGACAAGTTGAAAGAGTTTTCGTAGATACACTTTCTTTATCGCGTAAGAGAGAGAGTTTAGAGTGCCATAGATTCCTCGCTAAAAACTCTTCATTATTTAGCAATTGCTGCAGTTGTATAACAACTAGGACTGCCTGTATATTTTGATATATGTCACCTGGATAAAGTAGGAATATTCTACTCTACTTTTCATTATCAATAAAAATGACTGTTATATAAATTGAAATTGGGCTTTTCTGATTAACCTGTCACAATGTACAAAAATTTAGAATGAATGTGAAACTGCCAAGTGTAGTGTTATATTATAAAATGTTCTGATATTCTTTATCAGAATATTATATACTTTGGAGCAAAGTGATATTGCCACTTTAATACCAAGGTATTAATAGAGCTTATGGCTCCCCAACTACTCGACTGTCCCATATTATGAGATTTAAATTTACCACTCTATATATTTTATTCATTTCCAAAAATATTTATAAATAACATTATGTTACTATTTCAAAAAATCAAAGCAACATTTTCAAGATTAATACAGATTAAAATCTGATAAATTTATGAAACTTTTATACGTCAGAATTTATTTAAAATAAGTACTCATCACAGCTTTTATTTTAGAAAAACATTGTAGGAGTTGACCTTCCACGTATATATATATACTTCTATTCCTGTCATTTTTTAATACTAGCTAAATACAGCAGCGGAGACCAAATTTTCATTGAGGGGTTAGAAAAAGTAAAAAAAGTAATTAAGGAATAACTAAGAAAATCTAACATATAACATATACATAAAAGAAATTTAAATCTTATATATATAGTGTACTTTCGAAGGAAATTTGAATGAATTCTTTCCGTCCTTAACGATATCCATGGCTAAACATGGCACGTGTGTGTATATATATATATATATATATATATATATATATATATATATATATATATATATAT